GCGCACCTAAAAGCCAGAAGAGGCCAGATGTCGTCCTGATTGCTCCTTTAGAATTACCACTACTATTATCATTATTACATTTGCTCGTACTATTACTGTGATTACTATGATTATATTATAGCATTACTACTGTGATATATATGTATATATGACAAAAAAGGCGGTCCAACAGGTGCACAAACACGAAGACCACTCGAGCATGTTCTTATTTCCGGCTAATTTGACCAGCCTCTAGAAGAGTGATGTAGTGCTTGGCCATTGCCAGTGCATCCACACAGCCACCCTTCTGAAGTGACCGTGTTTTGTTAATTCGCTGTGTGCGCGCTGAGAGACCAGGAATCGACTTTCTGGCCTACCTGGTGGATCCTGGGCTTGCTTACCTTGCAAGTTACTAATGGCTAATGGGTCAGGATTGTTATCAACACTTATTTACGGGGCAGATTATAACCATAAAGCCTAAACCCTGAAACCTAAACCCATATTCATATTACCTAGCCCCAGGGGACTGGGAGGCAACCTATCCCTTTGATAACCTAAAGCCTAAACCCTTAAAAGCCTATAAACCCTAAACCCCTATACCCCTAAACCTCTTTCCCTCGTCCCCTCAAGTAGGGTTTAGGGCGTAGGGTTTTGGAACTGATTCTGGGGTTTCGTTCCTTGCCCCCAGCTCTCTGAATGCCAGCATGTGTTCGCAGCCTTAAACCCGAAACCCTACACTCCTGGAAACTAACATGGAAACCCAAAAGGGGCCCCATAAAGACTACAGTGCCTCTAAAATGGGCCTAAATGGGTTTCCATGTTAGTTTGGGGGAGTGTATTTGGGGCCACCAACTTTCAAGTTGAAGGTTGATGGTGCGAGGATTCGGGTTCGAGTTGCATCGGGTAGGTTGGTTTTTGGTTCCCACCGCTTTTAATTAATCCCTGGCCTGTGTCTATAATCCGAAAAAAAGCAGAATGTATACAGGGTCCGCAAACTCCCTACCACCCTAAACCCCTAAACCCTTAAGCTCAAAAAATCCTAAACCCCTAAGCCCTAGACCATAAACCCTAGACCCTAAACTCTAAACCCCTAAACCCTAAACTTTAAACCCCTACAGCCTGGACGGCCCTAGACTCTACCCTAGTTTCAGAGTTTTCGCAAGGAAGAGACGCGGAAGTCATTGGATCACAACATGGAGGAGTTCATCCTCAAGGTTGCCGGGTTTAGGGTTTGGGATTTAGGGTTTCGGGTCCAAGGTTTAGGGGTTTAGGGTTTAGGGTTTAGGGTAGGGTCTAGGGTTTAGGGATTAGGGGGCTGGGAGGTTTTAATATCAGGGTTCATTCCAATGGAACCCTTATATAAGTCCCATGTAGCCCCGTAGGCACCACAATCCGTTGTGGGGTAGCTATGGAATTCCTCTTCTGCAACATGTAGGCCCCTTCCACCACGCGACTCTTGCTCAGCCACTGTTGGTCTTCAATTCTGAATCCAAACCCTACACTGTATGCCAGGAATTTCTCCAACAATTCTTGTGCAATACAGGTTCTCATATCTGTTAGGCAATTTTTCCGTATGGTGAAAAGCCACGCAGCGCCGACGACAATGCTTGACACACTGTCGCAGCTTCAGAGACTTCGGGGGCAGTCATGAAACACTCCTCAAGATCAACCTTCTTACGGAAGAGCTACAACCGTGATACTTGAACAGTTCTTCATAACTTCTATAAGGAGATATTGGTAGATACAACAACTATTGCCCACTCCCTAGACGGTAAACCTCAATAGACGGGCAAATGGCTTTGGCAAGCTACGCATCGGCAGTGAACAAAGTTCCTCAGAAGATTGGGGCTCAGCAGCTGTGAAAATTGTGATTAATACAATGGTAGGGAGTTTATTAGGGTTTTATAGGGACAATGGAAAATAAAATGGAAACTATAGGGAGTGTAGGGATTATTGAAAGTTCTCCTGTATTGTTCAGCCTGAAAAATCCTTGAATGCCCACAAAAATGGCATCATTAGCTATGGCATTTGCCACGCAAAGCCCTGAATCCGAAACCCTAAACCCTATACAGTAGTTTCCATTTTCTTTTCCATTATCCGTATATAGCCTCTAAACCCTAAGCCCCCTACATTAATAACGGGGACTATATGTCCCTGGGATCCCGAGGTTCGTTGAATTGCAGTCATGCTGTATATGACGCATCACTACTTCTCTTCGGACATGACGAGGACAAAGAATTTGTGCCATGGGGGACAGTTGTTTAGGTAACTTGCAAGGACAAGAGGTTGCCTATTAGTATCAGATAGTGATTCTTTCGGGGAACCCTAAACCCTGTAAACCCCATAGTCCCCCTGAAGTAGATAGCATATGGGGTTTATGGGGATCTTATTAGAGTATACCCAAAGCCACATTCTATCTACTTAAGGGGGATCATAAACCTACAGCTTAGGGCAGGATTTGGGTTTGGCGAGGCCAGGGTGCCAGAGGATCTGTTGAAACAAAAACAGTCAACTGCTCCGAACTGGCTTTGTAGCCTTGTGAGTCCCTTTCCCAGAGGGTCCAAGTGCCCAATAATTGGGTACTTAGGGCTTTGGAAATAGTAACTGTAGTACAGTTTTTGGGTAAGTATTTGATTATTAGGTACTTGGACCCTTAGGGCCGTAGGGTTTGAAAGTGTAATCCTTCCCCTTAGTATTAGAACCCCCGGCCCTCCTCATATCACATATTCCCATGGGGACATACCGGAATTTACTGTGGGGTTTTTCAGCATATCAAGGAGATTCAGGGTTTTACTCTTTCCACATGTCCAAAGTTTGAAGGCCAGAACCGTCTCCCTGAGGGTCCAGGTGCCTAATAATCATATACTTACCCAAAAACTGTATTATAATTACTCTTACCAAAGCCCTAAGTACCCAATTATTGGGTACTTGGACCCTCTGGGTCTGATCTCCCTCAAGTCACCAGGACTTCTTGGCTCTGATGAACATTGGAAACGAGGGCGCGAACCCACGGAGGAGCAGACGGACTTGCAGGTTGAGATATCTACCAACAGCAAGAGCAAACAACTCCGCAGAAACGCAGTTGCTTCATTGTTGGCGAGCTACTGCCACGGATCTCCGTGAGTCACAATGTTCTGCACCGAGGGGGGATGGTGTATGCGAAGTCTTAGCCTCGGTGGGGAGAAGGGAAACAAATCACAACTCCTGGGCGCAAGGGACGACTCGCAAGGCGCCCTTCAGCGGATGAGAGCTGCCGCCTTGTTTTCAGATTCTGGCGTGGGACCCGGATACTCTCTGACTTCTTGGAGTTTGAGCTGCTTCTGTAAGTTCCCAATTTATGGCAACGAACATGCAGCATGAATGACGCCTTGTGGTTGGCATTTGCATCCTCGCATGCTGTTGCATTGAAGAAAGTCTGCGCGGCACGCTGGGCACAGTGAGCGCGAGGAAAACTTGCTGGGATGCCCAACACTAGATTCGTGATGCAATCCGCTTCGGGTGTGTATTTGTGTATAGGGCTGCTCAGGAACATTGGTGAGCACATTGGTGAGTACAGGTTCTACTAGACAGAGTTTCCATCCTCGCCAACTATCAGTATCAGTCAAACCTTGTACCTCAAGGCCGCATGGTTCCCCTGTGGATTGACTCCCAAACGGTTCCTGGAGGTTCATGGTTAGTTATGGGTAGGGTTATAAGTGGGCTAGCTGTAGCTAAAACCGCACTTGGGGTACTTCTAACTCTACTTCTAACTGATCGAACCCGCGGCAGATATCCCTAAATAGTCCCCTCACAATCACCATAAAATCGCAGAGAACCCTACTATATATAGCTACCCATGAACCTCCAAGTAGCCCTAGGTCTGAGAGGCCCACACGCGTTCAAAGATTGGGAAGCAGAATCTTTGACGCAACTTTTCCGAACCTCCACCCCCAAAAGCCCAGAGTGGGGTCAACGCCGCAGAGAAGGTGCTCGTTTGGGATTTTCTCAACCCCATATGGGGCCAAGCTTTTGATGCCGTTGTGACAAACGGTTTCAGGATCGAGGGTCGACTGGGGCAGGGTGTCAGGGTTGGCTATGTAGGTCTAGGGTTTACGGTTTAGGGGTTTGGGGTTTAGGGTTTTAGGAAAAAGGGGATCAGGGTTAGCGGGTTCAGGGTTTAGGATATTTTTAGATTTTTTAAGTTTAACACCATCCCCCTGATGAACCCCCCATCCCCCCAAAAGAACAAAAATGCATCTGCAGAATAAGGATTATATTAGTTTGGGGGCTATATTGGGGTCCTTTATTTCAGGAAACTATCACATTTGTTCTTGGGAGAGAGCAGGCAGGGGAATGCCTGTGTTACCCGAAGGCTTCTCCTCAGCACTTCGGGCAAATGCCGGGGGTGGTCCGTTTTGAGGTACAACGGGCTATAGGGGCCGCTATCATATCAGGAACCCAAAAAAGGATCAGAATTTTGACAACCTACCATCTAGGTTTCTGCCAAGGGTAGCAGGTATGCTTATTCCCAAACAGGAACACAACTTGGGCAGTTCCGTGTGCGATTGACTTGGATGGGGCATCCGGACGTTAGCTTTCAGCATAACCACATACAACACCCAAACAGTTGATACTGAAAAGTTCTGCATGACTCTACGTATCCTAAACAACAGGAATCCCGGTACCACAGTATACCCAGGTATACTACACTAAGGTCATCTGACATTCACTCTTAGTTAGGTGGCACTGTTGGATGGTTGATAACTTCCCCTACGAAGCTTACATAATCCCGACATAAGCTTATAATAATCCCTGCATAACCGTTTGTGATCCCCAGGTAACATTACATGAGCTACTGTCAATATTATACTTATTAAGGGCCCTGAACACCGAACATAGGGGCCTCTCTTGTCGTGCAGTATAGTCCCGAATATGGTCTTTAATAAGGACACCATGCCAACTAAATCATGTAGGAAATCTTGATTGTAGTTCATATAATCCCCAGGCATAAGCCGAAAGAAAGGATTTCACAGTCGGCCCAGGCGACCAGTGCAGTTTCCGGCATCCTGTCGCAGAGGATACGCCGGAAGCCTTGGGTAGCTGGTTCTGGGATAGATCCCAACGGGTATACAGGGACGTATTGGATACATATACATATATGCATATATATATATGGGTCTAGGGGTAGACGCAGATATATCTGGATATGCAGGGTTATCTTGGGATCTACAGGGATGCGAAGGGTATATATCGGGATATCCGGGGTTTGCTTGCTGATTGTTCGTGAGGAAAAGAAAATCAGATGCAAACAACGCATCAAGATTGGGGGGGTGTATAGGGAATTGGGTTTAGGGTTAATTTGCTGCTCATAAGTAGAGAGTGAAGGAATGGAAACGATAGTTGCTATATGGAGCTATTCTAGACATTCACCTCTCCATGCCCTACTAACAACCAGTAAGAAAATGAACCCGCCACCCACTGGTCACAATCATGAGAATTAGAGTAGGCTCCTAGTAGATCCACTGCTAGCATGCGAGGGGATGGCCTATATTATAATGAGAGTTGCATAGGTTTCCTTGTGCTGATCCATCAGAAGATGTTTGGCTTCGTGTTTAAGAATTGCCCCTGTAGAATCCCGACTGCCAGAATCCCGTCTGTGGTCTGTAGGGGTCATGCATGCTGAGAAATTCACACAAATAAGCTCGTGAGAAAGGTAGCCGTTTGGGGCCTTTGCTGGTGTATGTATGTGTCACAGAGTCTGTGTCTCAGATAGGTGGTCAAATCTAACAAGTTGGGTGCATGCAGGTAACTTAGACCTCAATGTTTCAGAAATTCCCAAAATTGAAAAAATGCGTATGATACAGTTCCTTGGCCAACGAAGACCAGTAGTTTTGTGTCATCCACATGTGCTCTCTGAAGCAGACACGCGTAAAGGTATATGTCTATGAAGATCAAGACCAGGGTGATCTGCCTTAAACTGGGTAGGCTGCTGGGACAGTTTATGTAATCTCTAATGGCTGTAGTAGGGACCCTGTACACGAATATTTTCAGAGGATTTAGGGGCCTACCCAGCAAAAGATACTTTAGTAAGAGAATCCTAAGCCCAAACTGAAGCTTTACAACCTCATTAACCCTAGACCCTAAACTTGGTTGCTGTTAAGGAACTTACGTTAAATCACGATAATAGGGAAACCCCTTTAATTACGATATGCCCATATCATGGTAACTTGCTTTAAGGTTTTTTGGCAACAGCCCATTAAACTCCGTGTATTTTCTGAGGTCCCTCTGCCGCCACTTTCTTGAGGGCAAGTGCACCTATGGGGATGCTTGCCGGTTCAGCCACGGAGGCCGCCCTGGTGGTTAAATACGTGGATGCACAAGCTAAGTTGCTGTTAAGGAGTTTAAAGTTTCCATAATGGGTATATATAGTAAATAAACGGGTTTTCCCAACATGGTAACCTAAATCAAGTTCTTTAACAGGAGCCCAGCAAAACCCTGCATCCTATGCCAAGTCTGCATGGCCCCACGTCACAAAATTCCCTGAACCCTAGAGTTTGAGGCACTTGAGCTATAGTCTAAACTCCTAGTATCCCCCTTAATAACCCCTAGAACGGTCCCTATAAAATCCCCTATATGATCCCCTTTAAAGAGTTTAGACTATAGCTCACTTAGCTTCATGAAACTTGAGTATCAAGAGCACTTCATACGTGAACCCTCTTAGTTTGCCGTACATTTGCTGGTCTTACAGTGGGAAAGTATAGTCCCCCTTATGTAGATAGAATATGGGGTATATGGGGATCTTATTATGATATACCCAAAGCCATATTCTATCTACTTAATGGGGACTTTATATTATTACGTGGATGGAGTGGTCTTATTGGTAAGAGAGAGAGAGAGAGAGAGAGAGAGCAACTGCTGTTGCCACTTGCGAGCACCGAGGCATTGTGCTGGGTGTCATGTCGTAGGGTTCATTTACAGTGTTGACGACCATTCAACTGAACCGAAAACTTGCCCCGAAACTGCGCGCCACAGCTGAGCAGGCCAGACATATGTTCCAGTCACTGTTCCTCGGCCTTATTGGGAGACCAGGTTCTCGGCATCAACAAGACGTAGCCCTGCCTGCAAGCGGGCCTAGGACTTGAGGGTTTCATGGTTGAGGGTGGCCGTATTGTCATGCTTCTGGCGCGGGTCTTTGCTGCGCAGAAGTGGTTGAGTTGATTGCCCGAAGGGTCCAAGTACCCAATATTTAGGTAATTGGGTGCTGGGTAATCGCACTTCGAGTACAGGTGTTAGGTAAGTATATGATTATTCGGCACTGGGACCCTTAGGGTAGATTGACATCCCTTGCGTCAGCACTCGTCCGTAAACTGCCTATAAGCCTCCCAGGCTTCAGGGAGTTGAATATGAGCATGGGCACTGCCTCCCCCCAAAACCGTGGAGCAACAATTGGGAATGTAAGGGCCCCAATTGAATTTGAGCCTCCTTCGGTTCCGAGGGTCTGGTCTGGATTTAACGATGGTCTTCCACCATTGGGCTGGAACTCATGAAGAGGCCGCCGAGCACATGAAGAGTGCCTCCTCATGCAAGAAGGTCCAAACATTCTTTTGGGTAGTTCCCAAGATTAGAGTCCAATTTTGGTACCCCTAAGCCAAAATACAAGGTGCCGTAATGTCATCTATAATCAAAAGGGGCCCATAATTTTGCGAGCAACTCATTAGTGCCTGAAAACTGACCACTGCAATGCAATCCCTCATCAGTTGCTAAGTTATAATTCAGTACCTCGAAACATTCAGGCCCCTGAGCCCATGATTTTGGAGATCCTTAAACCCCAAAATTGTTTCGGGTTGAGAGTTAGGATGGGTTTGGGTTTGGGGCTTAGGTCTGGGTGTTTAAGGTGCAGTGTAGGGTTCGGGCTTTCCCCTCAACCAATTTTGGAGTTCTCAACACGTACTCTGCGGTATCTCCAATAAGGACACCCAAACGCCTGTATAATCCTTCTACCTATACGTGTATATGTACACATTGACATATATACCTGTAAAGAAATCTACTACATGGTCCTACAGGGTACCCTCTAAATCTAAACCCCAGGGTACCCCCATGAGGTTCCAGCTGCGCCTACGAAGCCAGCTCCCATACGAGTTGCGCCTCCAAACTGGAAGCCTGCGGACGACAGGCATGTGGGCTTTAGGATTTAGTGTTTTACAGCGTTGAGGAGGCAAGATTTTAGGCTTCGGATTTTTAAGGAGGTTTACTGCTCAGCTTAGAGTTAGTTAGTTAAAAGTTGGAAGTATGGGCCCCCAATCTAGGTCCCTAGTCTGGCTACGAGATTCTAGGGTCCCTGAATGATACGCATTTGGTATATACTAGCAAACACGACCCCCGGACTAAGAATTTACTCCAATTTATGTTGGTCTCTCATCTTCGAGTGTCAGTGTTGACAGGGTTTGAGGCTGTAGACTTGAGAGGACTGAGGTTCGGTTCGCTAGTTTAGCCTTCAGGTTTTCTTGGGTTTACCTTTTTCCCGGGCTTCAGCTTTCTGATCTTGGGATTGACATGCAAACCCTAAACCCTAAACCCTAAACCCAAAAACCCTAAACCCTAAACCCCTAAACCCTAAACCCGTTTCAGGAGAGGGTGGGCGCTGCCCTATTACCGAGTTCAGAGCCCAGATGGTGGGCATGAAGTGTAGGATGTTCAACCCTAAGGGGTCCAAAGTATATCGTTATGGTATATAGTCCCCCTTAAGTAGATAGAATATGGGGTGTATGGGGATCTTATTATACCACATCCCAAAGCCATATTCTATCTATTTAAGGGGGAGTATAATCCCAATGACCTGAGTAACGGTCATGTACTCTCGAGGGTCCCCAATAATATGATAAGATTATAGAATACTGGCCACCGAGGGTAACGCCAATATTAGAATGTTAACATCGGTGCATTTTGGACAGATGCAGGGCAAAAGCTCCCTCATCGATCATTTTCCTTTGCGCTCCAACATACCAGAGAAGCCATACCCTAAGACCCGGTAGCCACTCTGAAGCAGATAGATAAAAACGTGACCCTGGCAATGTACACCTCAAGCTTATTTCATACCAAAAGGACGACAATATGCCGCTCAAACCCAAAGACTACATGCGAGAATTGCACCGCAGACCAGGCCGGTGTGCCGCCACTTCTTGGAAGGACGCATGCTTTTGTGCTTCTGAGAAAAGGGGTGCCCGTACAAGAATTGTTGCAGGACATGTGGTAAACGGCAGGTTACTAATGCGATGTGCTTTACGGATACGCATGATACGGCGTGATGGCGCATGGTGTAAGAATGGGTCGCCAGGTTCACAGCGGCTCAAGTCCTCATGCGTGCGACAATTCACAGATTTGTCAAAACTCTGCCTCAGAGTCCCATCATGGGGTCCCTATAGTATACCTATAGCAAAATCCTTTCTGGGGTTATGTAGAGAGACCTTCTTGTCAGAAGAGTCAAAACTGCGCAACTGCATGAACAGTCGCGAGTGCTGTTAAGAGCCATATAACAGTTTAGGGTCTAGCCGCTCAGCTTTTGCCTTCAATGTTTGAAGATGCAGGATGCCTCGTGTCTGGAAGTGACGGGTTGTTTGCCGCCACTGAATGGAGGCTTCTCCAAACCAATCGAGACCCTTATACCCCGTTTTACCAAGACAGCTGCCCTTAGACGAATGGATCACATCAGATTTCATTGGGGCACATTACTTGAAGCGCCACCCGCTTCCAAGATAAACAGGTCCATGAGGAGCTTGCCGAACTATGGGTTCTGGTTTGGGAGTCCTCGAGGGGATGCCACTGGGCAGCGGATTGGAGAGCTCCTAGATTCCGCGGAAGACTCTAAGCCCAAGGATCCAAGTACCCAATCATTGGGCAGTTGGGTTTGGGTTGATAGTAATTGTAAGTACAGGTTTTGGGTAAGCAAGCCAGTATTAAATACTGGGAGCCCTAGGGTAAATCCTCAACCCTAAGCTTCGCGCCTAACCCTAAACCCTAATTCCTAAACCCTAATCCTAAACCCTAATCCTAAACCCTGAATCCTAAACCCGAAACCCTAAACCCTGAGCTGGAAGGACGGTGCCGCTTCGGGGAGGAGTGCCGCTTCTCGCACCAAGGTGAGGAGGGCCTTTAGGCTTTCAGGGTTTAAGGTTTGTTCTTGGGTTTAGGGTTTAGGGTTTGGGGTTTGGGGTTTAAGGTTTAGGGGGCTTCGGATTAGATATGATTTTGGTGTTAAAGCCCGTTTCCGAGGCATGTTTAGGACACCGAAACACAGCAGCCCCTCTGTGGGCGCTTTGCTTATTGTTGCCCTGATCAGTGTTCTCTTGCGAGTCTATGGCAAAGACTTATTGGTTGTTAGTAGCGAACAAGGGAATATACTCCACATTTTATCCTTACATAATGTATTCCCCTGGTCCCTACTAAGAACCAGTAAGACGAAGCAACAGCGCTGAAGCTGGACTTCACCATACCTAGAATTTTAAAGAGGTTCAGCCCGGGGCCCCAAAGCCGGGGGCCCAAACTATAGTAGGAATTAGGATAGGAATATACTTACAGGCGTCCCTATATTCCTATTATATTCCTACTTTACTGGTGGGTTGCTGTTTGGGCTCCCCATTAGAGCCCCTGTAGATTTGATTGTTCGGCTGACTGCCGTCCCCAGAACAACAGCCACCTCCCAAAAAGTACCAGATTAAATTCGTAGCAGGGAATCTATCATGGGATAGCAACAAGATCAGCAGCACGGGCTATGGGCCGTGATGCGAGTCGCGATGACGTAGTTGCCACAGACCACCGTCCCCTAAACGCTAGGCCTCAATCCGTGCCGGGCACTCTTGGGAGGAGAAGAGAGCGCAGCGCGACTGCCTCCTACGGCGCCTGCCGTTCCAATAGACGACAGGCATTCGGCTCCGGAGCAATCTTGGGATGGATTTGGGAGTTTCCCGCAACAAGGGGTACCTGTTGGGGGTCAAGGACTATAATATTTTGGGGTCTATATAGGGGTCCCCCTGTTTTGGGACATTCTCACTTAACATTTTGGGCTCTGGTGTTTGTAGTAGATGACCATATAATATGTAGGGGATATTTAGCATAAGGGGGTGGGGATCAATAATAGAGCTTCGGATTTAGGATTCAGGATTTGGGCTTATGCTCCTGATGCATCACAAAAGTTGTTATACCTATTAGGGATCCAATCTGTTTCAATGCTGTTCATCCAGGGATGACACTGCGTAATTGGGGAGCGAAAAAATTTGAGAGTTTCCAAGAGGGCGTGGTCCCTGCTTGGGATTCCCTACAATAAAGCCAAAACTTGCAACCACTAAACCTGAACCCCAAACACTAAATCTGGAACCCTAATACTTAAAGGTGCAACCGTTGCATGTCCCTGGCCCTTAAAGCT